AGCCCTCTCACCGCCCCTGCACCTCTAGCCTGTATCCCCAGTTCTGTATGCATAAATAAATAAATCATGGGGAAAAAAAGATCATCAAGGGTCAGAGTGAAAACACCTCAGAGAACCTCCCACTCCCCTCACAAAGCAGTTTCACAGTTGCCACCAGCCAGCACAAGCTTTGGGTCCTGCTGGATGCAAATAACATCCTCTGCCCTCAGGCGCTGCGTGACGCTGGGCAAGCCAGGCAGCCTCTCTGTGCCTGTTCCTTCACCCACACGGTGGAGGCGCTGATTGTACTCACCACACGGTGAGGTTTCAAAGTGCCCCCACCAGTGAAACACAGAGACCAGCACCTGGTACCTAAGTCCTGAGCTTGCTATAATTGTCATCCAGATGAAGACACAGCAAGCTTCTGCTTGAATGCCCCTGGGAGGGGGCGCTCACTCTCCCAAAGATGCCTGTGCCCTGTTAAGGGCTGGGTGTGTGAGGAAGCTTTTCTCTCCTTTAACTCGCCTTCTGCTGGCAAGAGCCCTAGCCCTGTCCGAGGCGGCCAGCCCCGAGGACACACAAGCAAAACTGCACACTGGGTGGCTGCTGTCTGTGCTGTCTGGTGGGCAGTCAGGCCCCTTGGGGCCCACAGGGCAAGCAGCCCAGGCCAGGGTGGGCTTAGGACGGGGCAGTGAAAGGTGAGGCCTTGGCCTCACATGCCTGTCCAGCAAAGCAGTCCACCAGCTAGGCCCCGAGAATTCCTCTCCCTGGTCCCTGAGCCTCAACCTCCCAGGCTGAGTGGGGGTGGAGGGGTGAGGCGGCTGAGGTCCAGGGCCAGCCTCTCACATCTGTAGTGAGAGAGAAATAGTCTTGCCACTGGGGCTGGGGAGGTCTAGAAAGGTCAGCTGTCCGGCAGGGCAGCCCAGCCCTTTGGACAGCCGCAGAGTTCTACCAAGTCAGCGAGAGCTACAGCCCAGCACTTTAGAGCAGATTTGCTGGTGCATTCCAGCAGCTTTGGTGAGGATTCTGTCAAGCTTGCTCTGCTTCCTGCTGGGGAGGGCGTGGGCATATCCTCATCTCCCAAATGCCGTAATAACAATAGTTCCTGCCTTGCAGAGCTGAAGTGAAAAGTGATGAGCTGCTTCAGCTCAGAGCCTAGCATAGAGGAAATGTCAATAATGGGAAGATGGGCCAGGATGTCTACGTTCAAATGGGGAAGGATTTTTAGCTTGCTAAAAAGGGGAAGGTCCAAAGCCACGTTCGGTACCAGCGGGGCCAGCGCCGGGTGAGTGCCCGGTGGCTCCCACTCCTTGCCGGCTCCTTCCCAGAGCACCGCGTGCCCAGGTCTGCCCCTTCTGCTCCGGAGAGCCGGTTGGGTCGGGCTCCCTGGCGCCGGCCACTCCTGGCCTCTCAGGTGCTCCCAGCCTAGCGAGAGCGGCACCTGCAGTTCCCAGTGATGGCCGCTGGGTGTCACTATATGGCAAAAAACCCAGGTCACCGCAGGGCCGACGGCCGGACCCTGAGCGTTCTCGGACCGGAGCGGCGGCTCCGCAATCCTGTGCATCTCATTTGTCTGCTCCGCCCGGCGCCCCGCGGGCCAAGAGCTCCCTTCACTGCGCTGCAGGACCAATCCTTTCTCCACTCTCCCTGCTGAAAGACAGGGCGCCTGAGCCTGCTCTCCGGCCCACGGGCCCCGCTCGCAGCAAGTCACTGCCTGCGCTCTCGCGCCAGCGCCCTCCAGCCCCGCTGCCAGGTGCAGGCCTCCCGCCCGCTGGCACTGTGCACAGGCCTTTAAAATCCACGAGCCAGCCCGCATGATGCTGTGCTCCGGCCTGTGGGTGCAGAAACAGGCTCCCCCGGCGCTCTGCTTTCCGTGCAGGTGCTCTGGGCTCAGGACTCTCCTGCGAGCTGAACTTTCTTTGAGTACATCAACTGGCTGTGCCTGAGCCCCCAGACTCTGGGTTCCCCGAGGGCAGGGCCATGTGGAATTCCTATTTATAACTCCAGTCTCCCAGCCCCTTAGATGGCCACACCTCCGCTTGGCCCTGGTCACCTCTGAGTCCAGACCCTCTCTGTGGGGCTCAGTGCCCCCCCCCACCCCAAGGCCTAGTCAGCTGAGTGTAGCAAGGGTATCTCCAGAGTGAGGGCGACCTCTTCACTGTCATTTACATGCCTGTCTCCCTCCAGGGGCAGGGGTACCCCAGGCTACCAGGGAGAGCTGAAGGTGAAACTTCCAAGGCATGTGGGAGGATTGTTGAACATGGTTAAAAATTGGGCCCTCCCTGGTGGCGCAGCGGGTTGAAGCACAGCACTAAGAAGCTAAAGCCACTTCTGTATGAGTTCGATCCCCGCCTGCCCCGGAGGTGACCCCATGGCGCGGCAGACCTCTCCTGACCCGCCCGCTGCTCCCCTCAGCAGTGGACTTCGTCGATCTGCCTGTTCTGCTCCCCATTCTGTCTCTGGTGAATCCTCTCACCCTCCACATCTCTGGCCTGTACCCCAGTTCTGTATGAATAAATAAATAAGTCTTTTAAAAAAAATTAAGTCACACAGACTTACAATGTTGTATTAAAAACAAAGGCAATAGGCCTCCCTGGTGGCACAAAGTTTTCAGTCTCAGCACCATGAAGGTATCAGCCACGGCAGCATGAATTCAATTCCCGGCCAGGGAGGTGACCTACAGGGCGCAACAGATCTCTCCCGTCTCCCCACTGCTCCCCTCAGCTGTGCACTTTGTCAGTCGGCCTGTTCTGCTCCCTACTCTGGCTCTGGTGGATCTTCTGAACCCCCTGCACCTCTGGCTGTACCCCAATTCTTGTATGCAAAGCTCAATAAAATAAATCTTTTTAAAAAACATAAAAGCAAAGGTACTCAATAGACGTTTCACCTCCCAGTTGCTACTGTTTTTGTCATCTGTGCTCTGAGGTCACTTCCGCCCTCTGTATCTCATGGTGCAGACTGGGAAGGCCCTCGCATAAGGTCTCCCGGGGGGATTGAGCCCCATTCAATCTTGCTTGATGAGAACGACAACCAAAGAATTGCTTCCTGGCTGGGCCACTGTGTGCCACTTCTGCCTGCGTCTGTGTGGCTTCTCCAGGCTCCCTCCCGCGCCCCACAGATATATGCCAGTTAATAACCTCCATTGTTCGTTGTCCCCGTTTGAACGAGTGGGGGGTGTATGAATGTGTCCAGTCTGGTGGTAGAGTGTGGCCGGTCCTGTGGGGCTCCAATCGTGAGCCCTGAGCTGCAGAGAGAGGCTCCAGTCTCTCGCAGCCCTGAGCTGGAATAGCAGATTGGAAAATGAATGAATAAATGAATACCGATTATTATTTAATACTACAGGTGACCTGGCTCTTTATTTAGAAGTTTGGTGACGTTACTGTGACCGGAAATCCGTCATATGAACGTAACTCTTGTTTTTATCAGCTAGCCCCTGCTCAAATTGATTTTGGGAGATGTTTGTCTTTAAGTTGTAGTTTCTGAGAACCTTTTGAGGGTGGGTGTGGATTTACCAGGCTGCAGTTGCAGGGCTTCACTGAGCCCCACTGCTCCCTGCTGTGAGACCCTGCCTGAGGAGCTTGAGAGAGTGGTGAGAGGAGCATTTAAAGCAGGAATCAGCAGATGCTGTGAACTGGGATCCTCCACCTGTCCTCCCCAGAAACCTGCTTGTTAAACTCTCTCAACAGGATGAATGGGAGCTACATGCGCCTCACAGGAGGGCTGGGACAGTGGGCTTTGCTCCTCTGGTGTTAACCCCGCTGTGGCTCCAACTTCCCATCTGTGAAATAAGCCTCAGACTAGCAGCTTTCTCTGAGTGAGGCCATCTCTGCCTGGGGTCCGTTAGACCAGCCAAGAGTCCCGAGCTGGGTGCGGGTCGGGCCCGGTGAAGAGGAGGAGATGGGATGGACCCGTCAGAGGGGACCGCACGACGCGCGCTGACCCCAGGCAAAGGCTGGGCACAGACTTGCTGGAGCCCCGGAAAGTAAACCGTTTACCCAGAGGCTGGAGGGTGGGTTCCCGGCCACCCCTTGGGACTGTCATCGCTGCTACGATCTGACTGTGATATCCGGCCAGTGAAGCCACTTAGCTTGTAAAACCTCACTTTCCCTGTGTGAAAATAGGGATAAAAATAGTGACAGGGAAGAGCCACTGAGGGGACTGGCGATGGGGGTGTCGTGTCTGAGAGGGGGGCCCGCAGTCTGCCGCGTGGTCGCTGGGATCACGGCCTCTCCTGTCGCCCGGCCAGAGACTCCGCCCGCCTGCTCTGTCCTCTCTCTGGGACTGGTAGTGAAACCTGGATCCCTGAGACAGGACTTTGCCTAGGCCCGCGGCCCTCCCCACCTTCCAGCCAGGTCAGGCCCTCTCAGTGGACGCTGGCCCTTGAAGGGCCTCAGAGGCGGGACGCGGTTGCTAGGCGCTGGTTGCTAGGTAACGCACTGTTTCTTCTGGCTTGGCTGGTCACCTCCCAAAGGACCCAGGCTTCTCTGGAGCAGCTCCTGCCTCCTGCAGCCTCTCTCCACCTCAGAGCCTCTGCAGAGGGCAGGTGAGGGTGGGGCCAGCTGCGGGTAGCCAGCCAGTTTCCAGCTGAGTCAGGCCAGGCTGACGGAGGGGAGCAGAGGGAGACACCAGGAGTCTGGGGCTGGGAGTGAGAGTCCGGCTAGGGTGGCCAAGAATTTTTGGCTGGGAGATGGTCAGCCATTCATTCCAGACAGGTGGGCGAGTAAGGGGAGAGGAGGGCGAGTGGGGTGAAGGTCTGTCCCAGGAGCCTAAGCCCTAAGCCTAAGCACCTATTATGAGCTAATCCTTTGTCACTTGGAACCTCAGTCTCGCGGAGAGTCTGTGACAGGCGTTAGGAAGGTGAGCTGGGCACAGGGCCTGGGACACGTGCCGAGAAGCTTCTGGCCTTTCTGTGGTTTGGGGGTGGGTGTCAGTAGGGAGGGACGACGCTGGGGAGGGGCTGGCCGTGCTGGACTAACGGGGTGCTTCTTTCCTAGGCCCTCTGGGGCCTGCCCCGCAGCATCATGATGGGGAAACTGCCCCTGGGGGTTGTCTCCCCTTATGTGAAGATGAGTTCAGGGGGCTGCTCAGACCCTCTGAAATTCTACGCCACCAGCTACTGCACAGCCTACGGTGAGGGCCTCTTAGTGGGGAAGCCCCATGCAGGACACAGGGGAGAAGTGGGGGGCCAGGGGACGCTCCTGCTCAGCGAGGAGCAGCCCTGTGGGCTCAGGCACACTCAGAGGCACCCTATACCTGAAACCGACCCACGCCCCCAAGAGACCAGGCCCCTCAGGGGCTATAGACGGGGCCTGCCCATGCCCTTCCCAAATCTTCCTCCTGTGACACGTCACTCCGGCCTTGTCTCAGGCCAGGCTCTCTGGGCTCCTGTCTCTGTCCTTTCTCCATCGCAAGGCCCCCGGGGGAGGTGCTGGGCCTGCCGGGATGATGTCTCTCCACTGTGCTGACCACCACCCGTCTCCCCCACCCCACCCCACCCCCGTGACCTCCCTCCCCCGCAGGTCGGGAGGAGTTCAAACCCCGCATGGGCAGTCACCGAGGCACAGGTTACACCTCGAATTTCCGGCCCTTGGCCTCCTACCGCGCCAATCTGGACGCCCCGGACAAGCCGGTCATGGGGTACGTCCTGCGTCCCCGCCTATTCCTGCCTGCTGCCACCTCGGCTGTCAGCACAGCTCCCGGCAGGGGTGTGGGGGCCCGGGGCCTGCCTGGCCGAGGCCTGGGGCTCTGGGGCCAGAGGAGCAGGGCCCCAAGACAGGCAGATGACGCCAGGGGCACGGGTGGGGCTTGAGGCGGTGGGGATTAGCCCCGCGGACTCCACAGACCAAGGCAGGTGGCCCGAGCTCAGCTCCTGCGGGGCTTTCAGGGAGGAGCCTCACCAGGACTTCCAGACAGTGAGCGGCCAGAGCTACCGCCCCCTGGAGGTGCCCGACGGCAAGAGCCGGCTGCCCTGGAATCTGCACCAGACCGGCTCTGGCTACTGTCGGGAAAAGTCCCCTGGGGCCACCCCCAGCAAGGAGGTCAGTGCTGGGCTGGGAGAGGGCCCAGAGGGTCTCCGCACAGGGCGGGACTGCACCGCCCACCGCGGCCCAAGCGGAGGTGGCTGGCCCCCGGGGAGCCACGTGTGGGACCGGCCCCTCGCCTTCATCTCTGTCCTGACCGCTTCCCCTCTCCTTCCACCCCCATCCCGCGGCCATCATCACTCCACCATTACTCGCCGTCACTCCCATGCCGGCCGCCACGTCCGTTCCTGCCTCCACCCCACTGTCACCTCCGCTCCACCCCCTTCCTAGCCTGCCACCATCCCATCTCCACCACCTGCACCTGCAGTTCCATCCCGCCCTCCTGGCCAGCCCCACCCCACGGTCTCCCCCGCATCACCATCCTCCAGACTCTCTCATCGCTGCGACCATCACCCGGGTCATCATATACCCCCTCCACCAGAATGGACACTCACTCACTCACTCACTCACTCACTCACTCAGTATGTTCTCAACTCTCTTCTCTATCTGAGGATGGTACGTGCTGGGGGAAAATAGAGGGAAGAGGTAAGGAGGAGGCAGAAGTGGTCGGCTGGCCACTGTCCCCTGCGGGGGCTGAGAGCAAGCCACGGGGAGGTCTGAGAAACACCTGCAGGCGGTTAAGGGTCCTCCAAGGGCGGGCTGCGAGGGGGTGTTCCGGGCAGCCTGGCAGCCAGTGCAGCGCAGGTGTGAGGAAGGGATCAAGGGCAAACCACCGTCTCGGAGGCAAGTTGGTCTCGGCTGATGTCATACGGGTCTCCCCACTGACCGCCATGCAGACACTCTGTGGGGAGCAGGGCAGAACGGGGTCAGAAGTGACCGCCCTCCCTCACCTGGACGAGTAATCGGCTGCTCCCGCCTCCCAGGTCAGGAAGGTCCATTTTGACACCCAGGACTATGGGCCTCAGGCCATCACGGGGCTGGAGCCCAGGGATTTGCCTCTGCTCCACCAGCAGCAAGGCAAGGGCTCGCCGGAGTGGGAGAACTCCCGGCACGTGAGTGGACGGTCCCCCCAGGGCAGTGGGCTGGGCAGGGGCGGACCCTCCTCGTCTCCCTCCTTGAGGCAACTTAAGAGCCAATACATACGGGTTCAGGGTATCAAAAAGACTGAGGCAAGTTTCAAAGGATTGATGGTAGTGTTTCCAAGGCAACATCGAACCAGTCACCACCAACTTCTGCCCCGGTATTTTAGGATTTTAACCCCCCAGCTCAGCTCAGCTTCTCCCCCACCCCACCCAGGGGCCCTGAGCCCCACGCAGGAAGGGACAACACTAGCTCGTTTTCACCCCTCGGCCTCCCCTCTGGGTCCCGTCTGGTCTGGACTCCTGGCCACGCTGCTCATTATGAGCCGCCAGTGAGACGAGGCTTCACGCCAGGCGTCCCCGGGCGCTGTGCTCTCCTCGTGGACTTGCTGGCACGTGGATGCCCTATTTGAGTGAGATTTCACACCAGGGGCCGGCCCTTCTCACCATACACCCCACGGCTGTCTGTAGACCTGCCACGGCCCCGCCCTCCCAGTCTCCGTCTGTCTCGTCACCACTGCTCCGCTCTTTGTGTTCCAGGGTCCACGATTCATGACTTCCGAGTATAATTCCAAGTATCTTAAGGAGCCTTTGAGCCCGCCAGGTAGGCGCATGTCTGACAAACCCCACCCCCCAGAAAGCCTCAGCCCCAGGGAAGCTGGCATAGGGCTAAGAAGGTGGCAGTGGAAGAAGGGGCTTGAGGCTATTTAGGGGTGCAGGGTCGCCCCTGGTGCCTGAGGCCTACTGACCCCTGGCTGAGCAGTGCTGCTTCAGCTCCAGGGCTCCCCTTCCTGCTCACACTCCTCCGTCCCAGACTCCCCAAGACTGGAGTCCTCCCAGACTAGTGCCCTGGGCCGTGCTGGCTCAGGTCCTCGGAGCTGGCTCCCAGCTCCCTCCCTGCCTTCCCGGATGTGGCCTTGGGCCCTGGGGGTGTGGCCCAGCAGCACTGGCAGCTGTCTTTGCAGATCTCTTGCAGAAGAAATCAATAGGCGCCAAGGAGGAGACGGGCTTCACTGAGGGGTCTGCCAAGAACCCCATTGTCTTCCAGTCACCCTCCCAGGCCCTCTCCGGGGACCCTGTAAGTCGGGTTGGACCTGCTAGTCTCTCAGGGTAATCGGAGCCTCTGGTTTGGGGGTGTCTGGCTTGTTTAAAATGAGACGGGAGCGCAGGCCCCGTGTTCAAGCACAGGATGCAAGCGTTTGTGCGAGAGCCACCTTGGCCCTCGCCCGTCTTGAGGACCGGAAGACAGAGGCCGAGGGAGAGGGTGCCTCGGCCAAGGCCACTCGCAGCCCGGACAAGGGCCTGGCCTGCTGGCCCACGTGCGCCATGACTCCCTCTTTGCTCCCCAGAAACTCCCTTTCAGTTACCCCAGCTGAGCACAGGCAGGGAGCCCAGAGTCGGGTGGGTGGGGTCAGCTGCCTGGGCCAGGCTGAGGCCTCCCGGCCTCCCCCAGGTCTCCCTTCCCGGCCGCAGCATCACCAAGTCGGACTTCCTCCCCATGAGCCACCCTCAGGTAAGCGCTGGGAAGAGCTGTGGGCGCCCCCCCTCAGGAGCGGGGTGCGTTCTCTCTGGGGGCATGACAGCAGGAAGAAGGGGCCCACCACGGGCTGCTTTGCTGCCTTAGGGGGATGAGCTCCTGCCTGTGCTGGCCAGAGGCTCTGATCGAGAGACCAGCTTCAGCCGAGGAGCAAATGAGCGGATTCTGAACCCCAGAGTGAGTGACAAGGCGGGGAGCAGGGAGCCCTTGGGGGAGGGAACTGGGGGCTTCCTGGACTCAGCGCACCCGAAGGGTGGGAGGCCCCAGGGTGTTTGGGGCTGCTGGAAGGCCTCCTGGAGGGGGTCTGTCTAGAGGCCTGAGGGCCCAGAAAAGGGGGTGCTGCTTGTTAGGCAAGGGCACCGTCCTGGGGGGGCAGGTAGGGCTTGGCTTCCCCCAGACAGCCGTTTTGTGATGCCCCCGCCCACCGCTGCTGCCTGCTCCCCTACAGATGCCCCCTCCTGGCCCAGAACCCAGCAGCATGAACCCCTGGCAATTCCAGCCACCCCAGCGGATGCAACAGACAAACGTCGCCCTGCTTGGCCGAGAGACCGCCGTGGGGAACAAGGTGAGGCCGGGGCGCACAGCCCCCCCACAAGCCCCTGCTGCGCCCAGCCTGACCAGTGCCCTCGTCCCCTGCAGGAGCCCACAGGCTACAGTCTGAACAACCAGGGCTATGTCCGGAGCGCCTGTGACCCCGACTTGAGTAACCGCTACCTGACCACCTACAACCAAGGGTGAGCCCCCAAACCAGGATTGCGGAGCTGACCCCCACTTCACAGACTGGGAGACTGAGACCGGGACAAGACGAGGGGCTCGGAGCTCGGAGAAGACCGGCACTGAGTTACAGTGGGACCCCCAGACCTCAGTGCAAGGCCTTTGGCGGGGAGGGCCGTGGGTGGGGGAGGGGCAGCCAGCACCAGCAGTGGGTGTGCTCTGCACCCACTGATCTCCCTTGCGGGAGGGGAGACTGGAAAGCTAAGCCAAGCAAACAACTCAGAATTGCCCCAGAAAAGAGGGGGAGGCCTGGATCTGTACACCCCAGCATTTGGGGAGCATATGTTCAAGTCTGTCTCTAGAGGCAATGCAAGCCCCTGGGACCCCTTGCTTAGGCAGAGCAGGCTGCCCAGAGATGGGGTGCTGGTCCCGGCAGCCAGGCTGGTGGGAGGGAAGAACAGGGGTGAAAGGGGACTGGGGGTGCACAACAGCGCTGCTAAAACACGACTTCAGTTCCCAGCAGGCGGGCTCCAGCGGCCCTCGGGCGGCGCAGGTCCTGGGCAAAGAGCGAGTGCCCTGGGCCTCCAGGAGGGCTCCCAGGAGGAGGTGTCCTCAGCCTGTGGGAGGCCCGGGATGGGGCAGGCGTAGAACAGAGCTGTGATCCTCAGTCGAGAGCCTCCCCGGACAGCACCTGTCTCCTGAGTGTCCACCGGGTCCAGAGGGGACCCAGGGGTTCCCTCCGTGCTCAAGGCTGGACCCCTCCACTGCGGTTGAGGGGAACAGCGGTACCTGAGCTGCGATCACATGGGTGACGTGCTCCAGTGGCCCCGTACCCGGGAGGGCCAGTGGGCGGGGCAGAGGCTCCCGCTGGGCTCTGGGGGACGCCGTACCTGGGCCTTCCCAGGCTCCGGCCATCTCCTGGGTCTCCGGCAGGTCCCTGGCCAGGCACCTCTGCGGGTCCCCCCGCCTGACCCTCCCCCCACTGAGCTCCTGCCCCAGGGCAGACGCTGCTCCTTCCCGCTGTGCCCTAAACCCCAAGGGTCGTAATCATGATCTCCACACACATCAGCCTGCCTGCACCCCTTCCTGCACGCTCAGGGGCAAGCCCCGCATCTTCCTCAGGGCCTTCAGAACCGGGTCTTATGAATACGGGCAAGATGGGAGAAAAAGCCAAATGCCAGCAAAAAATGGCTACGCCGGGTCCTGCCCCCCCCACCGTGACCCCCACCGAGGAGCGTGGCATCACCGGCCACTCCTGGACACGCTGGGAGTGTCCGGGCCCAGGCACCGAGCCCGCACGCGAGAGGGTGTCCAGTGTGGGCGGGGCGGGGGCCGCGGCAGCGTGGACGAGGGCCAGGAGGCTGGGGGTGCCGAGGCAGCCCGTGCCCTGCGGAGCCAGGAGCCCCGGCAGCGGTGGGCAGGGCTCCGTCCCACCGCCAGCCCGCCCTGTGCCTCAGGTACTTCGAGAACATTCCTAAGGGCCTGGACCGAGAAGGCTGGACTAGAGGGGGCGTCCAGCCCCAGAAACCAGGAGGCTACGCCCTCAACCAGCCGGTCACCCACATGGAGGCCACCCCCAACCCCGAAGAGGGCCTGCGGCGCCTGCACCCCACAGTGGGAAGGTAGCCCCCCGCCTTTGCCTCTCCAAGTCTCTCTCAGCCTCTCTCCTTCCGTGTCCTCCTGGGGGCCGCACTTTCCTGCCTGTCACCGCTTCTCCTGTCCCAGTGTGCCCCTCCCCGCTGACCCCAGTGGCAGAGCAGGGGTCGGGAGCCTGAGCTGATGCCCTGCGGTTCCGCCTTGCCCTGGCGCCTGGCTCCACGATCTAATTCCTCAAAAATCACCTCTTTACACGCCGCGGCCCGGAGCTGGCAGGCGAGGAATGTCTGTGGCTTGGCTGCCAGGCTTGGCCCCGAGGGGAGAGGCAGGCAGGGGAGAAGGCCTGGCTGGTCACTCACCCCACCTGTGTCCCCACCTCCCCGCAGAGCCCTGATGTCCGCTGACCCCTTCTACAGAACCACACCTCACAGCAGCCGCTTCACGGGGCCCAACTGAGCTGGGTAAGGGCTGCCGGGTCCCCACGGACAGCCGCTTCCTGGGTGGGGTGGTCATGGGGGGCCTTGGGGGTCACGCCAGCTGGCCTTGGGGAGGGTAGGTTGGAAGTGGGATGGCAGGACATCAGGGAGCTCAAACGGGGAATATTGCCTAGAGCCCCTGAGCCCCTCAGGCCTCCTCTTTGTGTTCGCAGGTTTGCCACCTCAAGGGGGCAGGAGCCGGCTGCTGTCCCCACCTTCACCCCGTTCCTGCTGGGGTTCCCTGCAACGTTCCTGAAGGAATAAAGAGCAGTGGAGCAGATGGCTGTGTCTGTCGCTGGAGGGGCGGGTGAGGGCGGTGTCCAGGCGGAGAAACTGGTCGTGGGGTCAGCGAGGCCCAGTCGGACTCACCACCACCGTGTGGGCAAAACTCGTCACTCCTGGGCCTCAGTGACCCCGTCAGAGGGCTGCTGTGGACCATGTGTGCGCCTGAGGGAGGAAGCGGTGAGGGCCAGCGGCGGGATGGAAGCAAGCGGGCCTTGTCTCACCCAGCCTGTGGAAGGGGTAAGGTGTCAGGCATGACTTCAGGGGCCCTCTGCCCTCTGGGGTCCCCCTCAGAAGGGTTTAAGGAGAAGGGTGGAGCAGGGCAGGAAGAATCAGAGGTCGCTCTCCTGGGACAGATGGAGGCGGATCCGAGGTTGATGGACAGCCCCACAGGGCTAGGGGTGCTGGTCCAAACGAGGCGCCCCTAGGCTGACTCCCCTCGACTGACCCCCCTGAGCAAACCACCCCTAGACTGACCCACTGGAGCAGGTGTCTGGGAGGAAAATGGTCTCTGTCCCCAGGGCGGCAGACCGGCAGCGGCAGTTTGCGACCGGCAAGGCCTTCGGTCACCTTGGCCAGCGGCCCTTGTGCAGTGCACAGCCATACAGCTGGACACCGGCTGAGGAGCCTGGGCCCAGAGAGGGTGTGTGAGCTGCCTGAGGTCACACACACAGGCAGGAAGGTGGCAGCTGCCCCAGCCGGGGCGGTCCCCGTCACCTTGCAGCCCAGACCTGGTTCAGAGGTGCAGGGGCCTGCCCCGCCCCCCGGCCCCCACCCCGGCCCCTCAGCGGGTGTCTGTGGCTCTGCTGGCCCCGGGCCTGGCTGTTCCCAGCATCCCCGCGGCAGGCCCGGGGGCTGTCCAGGGCCCGACTGGGGCTCCATGTGGCATGTGGGTGGCGCCAGCTGGCTCCTGCACTGGAGGAGGGGACACAGTGTCTCTCGCTACAAATCCAGTCAAACTCAGGACCAGCCACAGACCCACAGCTGTGGGCGGGGCTGCTGGTGTCTGGCCCGGGTTAGGGGTGAGTCACCAGAGAGGCTTGGGGACGAGGCCGGCCCCCAAGAAGGTGGGCGGCGGGGGGCAGTCAGCCCTCCTGCCTGCAGTCACACACGCACACACACACACTGTCTGCACAAACATGAGGGACACGCATGGGCACACATGGGCACACCACGCCACCTCACCAGCTCTCACAGAGCTGCCCACCAGTCAGGCCCGTACAGATGCACAGAAACAGAGTGAGAGGCGTCAGGGACACCGGAGCCTGCTCCCCACTCTCCATCACCACGCACCCAGTTTCCAGGGCACCTGTGCTGAGTTCACCCCACCAATGTTCCAGAGTTGAAGCTGGGCTGCCCCCAAGGGGAGGGGCCAAGCAGCGCCCCAATTCAGTTGCGCCCCGCCTCGCCCCTGCACCTGGTCTTCAGGTAACTCATGTCCACTCCCTGCGGAGGTCCTGGGCCCAGGGCAAGCAGCCGTCAGGAGGGGCGACCAGGCGCAAAGGGGGTCCGGGAAGAGCCATGCCAGACGTTCCGGACTCCTTTCCCAGCGGTGAAGGGGCCGGACCCAGGCGTGGCCAGCGAGGCTTTGGGTGGGGCCTGCGTGGAGGAGCCCAGCGTGGAGGGAGCCTGGCTGGGTGTGAGCAGTCACGCCAGCTTCCTCTCAGGCTGCAGCCAGCTCCGCTGACTCGCTCCAGGTGGGCCCTGGGCGTGCGGGCAAGGCGTGAGCGCACTGGGCAAAGTGACCGCTGAGGGGCCATTGTGGGGTATGGGAGGAGGCCAGGCCTTGGACAAGGATGCAGTGGCGGCCCAGCCCAAGGGAGGACATCACACGGCTGCAGCCCTCTCATGGTGCCCAGCCTCTGACCAGCCCCAACCAAGCTCCCTGCAGTGGCCAGAGGACACCCATGTTCCACACCTGCCCCCCATACCCAAGACCGGGGTTCACAGCCCACCAATCCCCACTGGGTCCCCAGGGCAGAACGGGGGGATGCTTCTCCCCTGTGGCCCCTTGGGTCACTGAAATCGCTTGGGATCAACTGGCCTTTGCCATGTCCCCTCCGTGCTGTCAGGACAGCGTGGGCCACACTGACGTGACTTCATTTCCGGAGTTTCACCCATGGCCAGGCTGCCTCGGTCAGCAGTGCAGCAGCCCAGGCCTGAGCTGCAGGGCCTGGAATCACCCTGAGGCTGCCCCATGCCCCTTGCGGGCCGCAGCAGCCCCTGGGGGTGTCTCCAGCGTGTGGGCCTCGCTCTTGTCTGGGAGAATGTGGGTGGGTGACCCACCTGAAGGCCCTACCTGGAGACCTTGGCTGCCCCGAGGGGCTGTGCCCTGCTCTGTCCCCCGAGGCCAGCCTCTGCCCGGCCCTCGGGAAGCTTCCACCCCTCCCCGCCACCTGCTAAGCAGGCTTTAGGGTGCGGCTGTGTCATCCCTCACAGAGGTGCTTATTGTAGCTGCTACCAAAAAGTTTGCTCCGATCCCCAAAGGTATTCCAGAAACTGCTCTGAGGTGCACAATGAGGATGATTAACCTGATTCCAGGCGCCCACAGCCTGCCGGGTGCTGGGAATATTCCGTGGGCCTGCAGCTTTGCAGCAAGAACACGGAGGGGCCTCCCTCGTGGGGAAGGTTGGGGACGCAGGTGGGGGCCGTGCTGACGCCATCAGCGTGGAGGCGTGGGGTTCAGGGGACCAGCGGGGTGGCAGGATCGGGACAGATGCTGGGTCCCGCCCCATCGGGCCCCGCTTGTGACGCACGAAGTCGGGTGAGGCTGGTGCCCATCACAGTGTGGCAGCAGCTGATGTTGACAGGTGCCATCTGGCCAGTCACACGTGACACACACAGCCACCAGCGCATGGGCCTGACAGCTGGCCAGCTGGGGAAAGGGAGCTGCGGGAGGCGGAGCCGGGGGTGGCAGGCAGGTGGGCACGCCACGCACAGACAGATGGAGGCACTCGGTCTGATCCCCGGTTTCCTCCCTGGCCATCTGGAGGGCTACCATTCCTGAGGGAACGTTCCCAACCAGCCGACTGTGCCAGGAACCCACCCCATGAGTCCTCGATGCGAGGTCAGAGGGCTCCCAAGTGTCCCAATAGTTCCAGGTGCTGCACCCACTGCTCCAGGTGAGGAGATGCCAGGAAAGTTCTGAGCTGTAGACTTCACCCCCACTCCAGAAGGCCCGTTGTGGTGATGGGTCCCCTGTGTGGGAGAGGAGGCGGCGTCCCAAGTCTACATGGCCCAGGGAGGGCCGGCCTGGACCTCTCGGCCCTGAAATCTGTCTTTCCCAGCACACCCCTGGACTGTGGGCAGCTGTGGGCCCGGGTGCTTCCTGGCATGGGAGATGCAGGCCAGTGGCTCACCTGAGAGCGAGACTGGGTCTGATGCCAGGAGTCCCTCTGCCAGGTGGGACTCCTCATAGCAGACCTGCATTCTCCTGGTGGGCTTGGTGCCAAGGGCTGGGGGCTGCATTAACAGACATGACAAAATGATTCCGTGTACCAAGGGGACCTCTGTCAGGGTGGGGACCCCTGCGCACGACAGGATAGGGTCTGGGGACCTGGGGCAGGAGTCCAGACCCTCCACTGTGACCACGTGACCCCTCAGGAACCACAGGCTGAAGCCTCGCCTTGCAGACAGTATTTGTTGCAAGCTGCGAAAACCAGCCCCAGCTCATTTAAGCAGACAAGGCATTTATTTAAAAGGATTTGGGTGCTCGTGGGATCTTCAGTTAGGCCTGAGAGCAAGGCAGAGAGGTCAGCCAGTCGAGACCCGTGGCCAGTGTTGCCCCATGGACCCACACGGTCCGCCTGCCCTGTTGCTGGGCCCTGGCCACTGTCCCTGCCACCGCGACCCCTTCTGAAAAGCAGCTCTAGTTTCAGATTCAAAATCTGGGCTGGGTGCTTCTGACGGGTGGCTCCCAGGACTCACCTGCACCCAGTGGCAAGGGAAGCTAAGAAAGGAATTCCCAGGGCCGCCAGCTGCCCAGGCAGGACATGGGGTCCTGTCGGGGGAGTTAGCTGGGATTTTCCAAAGGAGGAAGGGGCTTCAGATGCTGCGAGGCCCAGAGAACTCAAATGTCTTCCACTCCGTGACAAGGGGCACTGAAACTGGCCGAAGACAGTGGCCACATCGTGTACCGGTCACGGTCTGAGTTCCTCACCTGACGTGCACACTACAAGACCGCTCAGGTTTAAGAAACAACAACAATGAGATTTATTTAATAAACGGGGGAAACAAAGAGTCACTGAGGCCACAAGAAGCCGATTATCTCACCCTGAGGGTTCACAAGTCCTAAACAAAATGCTGTCCAAGATGGCGGCTTCCCGCCATTGGGGGCCGGGAGTTTGTGGGAGCTGGAGACCACAGGCTGGTACCCCCGGCCGGCCGAGGGCAGCCAGACGCTCTCAGGGCCGCCAACACGCGCCTGAGGCAACAGCTCAGGGCCAGACAGCCCACACTGGGAACAGCCCCAGCCACTGACAAAGGGCCACCCTGCTCAGGGAGGCGCCCGCTCAGGGCCTAGCAAAGCTGGGAGCAGTTTCAGCCGCCCTGCTAGCTGCAAAGCTTGTCAACTTTTTTCCTC